TATAAAAATAGTAGCTTTATTCAACCAGGCATTGTCTTTATGATTTGTTAATTTATGTGTGATTGCTTTATTTGCGGGTACTGGAACCTAGGAAGAGTTTAGTGAAGAAGGATGGATCAATTGGGCTGGAGAAACTATTAGCGACAAGGATCACTGCACAACGTGTAAGGATGAGAAGGTTGTTCAAGAGAAGAAGGAATTGGAATCAGTAGTTGAGAAGGGTATGCAAAATGGATAGAAGATTACATTCCCTAGAGAAACTGATGAAGCTAAAAGTGAATAATTCATTTTAGTTTTTTTCGATTCTGTTTGATCTCAGAGAAAATCGACTACCAAGGAAAGAAAAATGGAACTTGGAGTTTTATGTTATTTTTCCTTCCGTTTTTTAAGCAATGTTGATATGGTGGTTGAAAGATATGTGGTTTTAGTTTTGCGAAATATGTTTTTGTCGTTGAGAAATTTGAGGAATACAGCTCAAGGAATATATATGTACTGAAAATACATATTTTTTTTTTCTCAAGTTTCTCAGCCTCCACATAGAGTTGAGAATTAACTTTTTCAGTAATTAATTATTTGATCTGCCTGATTGTAAACTAATTATTACGTAATTTGCAGGAATATATATACAATAGGCTCCAATTCAGGTATAATTTGCATATAAGTACTGTTGTATTTGGTAACATTTTAATGATTTTCTTTAAGTATTTGTTAATTAGTGATATGAAATTTCAAGGATTAGTAAAGTCTCAATGAATCCTCCTCTTAGCCCCAACACCTCCTCTAACAACTTAAAGGTACATTTTTCTTCTATTTTCTTTTCAAGTTTCTTTTGCTGTATTAACATAAACCCACTTGTGTGTGACTTGATCCAGTTGTTTAAGTAAACTCAGTGGCTTTGGTGATGGGTGAAATGTTTAGAATGGACCTCTAAAACATTTGTACTCTAGGTGTATTTTATGATAGTTTTTAAACTTTAGGGGTTTTATTGATTTTTGGATAACTATAGAGTGTTTATTTATTTACCTTTTGGGTTAAGATCATATGATTGTGATATAACTAGTTTGCTTCTTTCTACTGCATAAACCCACTTGTGTGTGTTGAACCTATTATTTAATTGAATTCCTTCGCCTTGGTGTTAGCTGAATGAAATGTGAAATATTTGTACTTTTTGGGGTGGTTTGTGTTATTTTTTAACTTTTAAGGGTTTTATTGGTTTTTGAGATAATTTGAGGGATTTATTAGTTGTGGAGTCTTTTGGATTTTAATCATATGATTTGATGGTGGTTATGGATCGTTAAATAAACCTCATCAGTTTCAGAAACAAGAGAAATTACTCTTATGATATGTTTGTACTTTCAACTTTCTAGGGTGGATTTTGTTATTTTTAAAACTACGGGGATTATATTTAGCTTAAATTATTTAGAGATAATACTTGAATCTTCTCCAACTTTTAGATGAGTTTTCTGAAGATACTAATCTCTCTAACATTTTATCTTTATTGTAACTTATAGACAAATTAAGTTGAGTCTGGTTTTGTATTTGAGCATATGTCAATCTGAAATGTTTGATAATTCAACTTTGCCAGTGTTATTCATTATTGAGACTGAAAAATAAGAGAAAGAATCTTGCCATAATGTTATATCAAATCTATTAGTCATCATTTCATAATCTAAACTGTGTTGTATCTTGTGATCTTTTCAGTTTCTTCTTAATAATTTTTTATGCACTTGGATATAATATTTACTACCTTTGTAATAATATAATGTTTAAGGGTCTGCTAACAATTTATTAAACTTTTTTACATTAAGAAATTTATCCTCAAATTTAGCTGACTTCGATGGTTCTGATTACTAACATAAACTATTTTATGCAAATACAAAACAACCCTTAAACACCTTCTTCTTCATTTAGGAAGGTCTATTGTCCTCTCACAAACTAATAGAAAACACAAAATCTTTTTTCTAAACCTTATACAAATATATTGCATAAACATTACACTCTTCCTATGATACATTTGCAAATCCCATGAGTTAATCCTTCATATAATCAAAATGTTCATCTTGGAAATCCTTAAAACAAAAACATACCAAAAATAGAAAACAAATTTATACCTCAACTATTACAGCTATCAATTTTCCACACAGTTGACTTCAGTTTCAGCTTCTCATTCTGAAAGAGCCTTGACTTTTGAATCCATTACTGCTCTCATGTTTCTATCTTCTTCCACACAAGACATGCAAATTTCAACAACAATTTTGCAGCCTGGGTCATGTGAAAGAGTTTGCAAATTGTACTCACTTCAACCTAAAATGCTTCATCTCCTCAATATGTATCTCCTAGTCGTCACAACGACCGTCATTTCAGCAACTAAAACACCCTGCTTAGATGCTGCACACTGGAAATTGTATAAGCAAAGCTTTAGTAAAATTGAGATCAAATCCTTAGAAATCAACTCTTGGAACAATAATCAGTAATTAGTTCTAGTGTTGCATTTTTCTTTTGATTGATGGATATTCTTGATAAACCTCTTTGACTCATCAATTCCAACAACCAATTAGCTTCCTCCATCTTTCCCACCTCAGAAAGCCCACTTATCATTATAGTGAACGTCACCACATTAGGCTGCAAACCTCTTTGATTCATCAATTCAAAACACCCATTAGCTTCCTCCATCTTCCCCATCTTGCAAAGCCCATTTATCATTGTATTAAAAGTCACCACATTAGGCTAAAACCCTTTTTGACTCATCAATTCCATCAACCCATTAGCTTCCTCCATCTTCCCCTCTTTGCAAAGCCCATTGATCATTGAATTAAATGTCACCACATCAGGCTGCAAACTTCTTTGACTCATCAATTCCATCAACCCATTAGCTTCCTCCATCTTTGTAATATCCCACTTGAGGTACGTACTTAAGATTTGCTGTATTAGTTAAAAGTTTACTGTTTCAGTTTCAATTGAATTTGTTTGTTGCCATGTTGAGTTGGTTGAATGGTTGCCTTGAATTGATTGAATTTTGGTGAAGTTTGGAAATCCAATCTTCGCTGAGGCGAAGAAGAAGCTTCGCCGCGGTGAAGAGGAGGAGTTGCACCCACGGGTAGGTTCTGCCCTGTTTCGCCGAGGCGACGGAAAGTGCTTTGCTGCGGCGACGAGCCTAATACAAAGTTTCTTGAGTTTTCTAGAGAATTCTTCTTTTGGGGCATAATGACCATTCTACCCCTAATTAGTAGGAAAAGTGTGGAGTAAAATGTAAGGAAATTTAGTAGAGATTTGGTTTCGATGGGGGTGTAGTTGAAAATAATCAAAGGATATAGATGGAATTTCTAAGGAAGAGCAAGGGCAAAATGGGAAATGATGGATATTTTATGAGCTAAAAAGAGTTAAGTGTAGAGAAACCCTTTAGTCCATCCATTCTACCGGCTCTTCCATTTGTCTAATTTCTCTCAATTTCTTCATCCAATCTTCCAAGATTTCTAAGGGATTTAAGGGAGCTTTTGAATAATTTTGAGTAGAGATTACATCTAAAGCATCCTAAGGTAAGGATTCATGCTTTAGATGTGAGTTTTCTTATAGTTGTAGTGAAGTCTTATTTGGTTGTTATTGTTCTTGTTGTTGTTTTGAGTTGTAGAGAAGAGACAAGACAACAAAGGAAAGGAAAAGTGCTAAAGAAGTCACCTTTTCACAAGGTAAGTAAATCCAACCAAGTTGAGTTTTGAATAAGCTTTTGAGTAGAGAATTAGAGATTGAGTAGAGATGTATACTTGTATAAGTATGTTATGTTGTTGAGAATTGAGTTGAGTTGAATATGAGAAGTGCTTTGGATGTGTGATGAGGAATGGAAATTGAGTTGAAGTTGGAAGAGTTGTGTATGATTATTTTGGGAGTATTTTCTTTGGCAGGAACTATGATTGTATGAGGGAGTTTTCCTCCCATTTTAGATGATTAAAGAGTAGAGTAGAGTTATAGATAAGTAGAGCTTGGGTATACACATGAGTTGTTTGAAGAAATGCCTAGGTGAATCTGCCCTGTCACAGCCGTGACTTTCTAAGTAATTTTTGGACATCTTACGGATTTAAATGGGCTGAGACCAAAACATAGAAGTTATAGCCCTGTTTCTAAGCTTTAAAACGAGACCAAAACCGTAGCAATCCGAGGTGTATAACGCAAGTTATGGCCTTTTTAGTGTGGCCTGTGCGGAATGACTGCTTTGAGGAAATCTTGTATTTGGCATTCCATAGGTGCATTAGTGAGTATGAGCTACCCACATGTATTTTTATGCACTTAAGTAGCAGCTTGAGACATAGTGGAGAATTTTGAGTATAAGCTATTTTAAGAGCTAAGAAAAAGAGAGAATAGAGTAGGTTGTGCGATGGGGAACCCGTGAGTTATGGGTAGAGTATTCCCACATGTACGCCGCATTGAGAGAGCGGCATGAGTATGAGATAGAGAAGTGGTGCAGCCCGTGAGAGTGCATGCGGATGAGGGCTATACCTGAGTACCCGAGAGAGAGAGATTATACACTCACATGGCCAAGGGTTCCGAATCCATGCATAACTGAGTCCGATCGGCTAGAATGAGTANTTGATATAAACAAAATGTCAGCAACAAAAATAAACCAAAACAACTAATAAACAAAATATCAGCAACAAAAAATTACGACTGTGGTCGGTTAAGCGATTTCAGATCACTTAAGAGATCTTGACTCTGCCTCGTGCAAGATCGCTTAAGCGATTTCAAATCGCTTAATTGACCAAGAGTAAACTGAAAGAATCTCTTAAGCGACACAAACGATCACTTAAGCGATCTTACATCTATGATTCTGCCTCAAAAAGATCGCTTAAGCGATCTGAAATCACTTAAGCGACCAAGAGTCAACTTAATCAATCGCTTAAGCGATATAAAGGATCGCTTAAACGATCTTAGATCTGGGTAGATGGAGTAAAAGAGGTTAATCGCTTAAGCGATACAAATGATAACTTCAGTGACAGTTCAAGACATACCCTTGCTTCGGCGGCCTGCTCGTTATCGTCGGCCTCCTCCTTGTCGCCTGAATCCTCGGAAGATTCCTCTTGCCCTGAATTCTCGTCGAAATCCTCCTCCTAGCCTGAATTATCACCTGACTCCTTGTCTTTAGAACCGTTTGATGATTCTTCCTCTGTTCTTGTGCCGCCGACGTCTCCTCTCCTTGTCGATCACATTCACTGATCGGATGATCCACCAGAGCAGCCATTGAATTGCTTGTGCCACTGGAATCTAGGATTTGAAGTGGCATTGGGTTGTTGTCATCATTGTGAGTGTCAGCCATGGTTTTGGATTGAATTTGGTGTGAAAATTTGTAGTTTGGATTGGAAATGTGGGCTGTATCATCGAAAATCGCGCAGATTCCGTTTAGGGTTCAAGAAATCGATTTTAGGGCTCAAGAAATCGATAGAAAATTATGACTTATCACCGGAAATCGTGACTATATTCCGTTTAGGGTTCAAGAAATTGAGTTTACGATTGAATATGGTATGAAAATTTACGGGTTGGATCGGAAACGCCTGTCTCCCTTTGGTTCAAGAAATCAATTTTTGCCCTAATGAATTTCGATTAAGTGAGGTGAATAGTTAGTGGGGCTTGTTTTGAGAAATTTCAAATTTTAAAAAATTTTATTATGTCTATTCGGCCCAAATATGTTTTAATCCTTTTATTTTAATCCATTTTACGTGTTTAGTTAGTAGGACTTGGTCGGTTAAGCGATCTCTTCCAAGGAAGAATAAAATTTGCCCAGATAGATGATCGCTTAAGTGATCCTCTAGTATCGCTTAAGCGATTTCTCGCTTTTACTCTTAGTCGCTTAAGCGATTTAAGATCGTTTAAGCGATCTCTTCCGAGGAGAGTAAAATCTGCCCAGATCTATGATCGCTTAAGTGATCCTCTTGTATCGCTTAAGCGATTCCTCGCTTTTACTCTTGGTTGCTTAAGCGATCTCTTCCGAGGCCGAATAAAATCTGCCTAGGTTTATGATCGCTTAAGCGATCCTCTTGTATCGCTTAAGCAATTCCTCGCTTTTACTCTTGGTCGCTTAAGTGATTTTTGATCGCTTAAGCAATCTCTTCCGAGGTAGAATAAAATCTGCCCAGATAGATGATCGCTTAAGCGATCCTGTGGTATCGCTTAAGCGATTCTTCGCTTTTACTCTTGGTCGCTTTAGCGATTTAAGATCGCTTAGGCAATCTCTTCCGAGGTAGAATAAAATCTGCCCAGATCTATGATCGCTTAAGCGATCCTCTGGTATCTCTTATGCAATTCTTCGCTTTCACTCTTGGTGGCTTAAGCGATTTCAGATCGCTTAAGTGATCATTTGAGAAAAAATCTTGGTCGCTTAAGAGATATATGTGGTCGCTCATATATCGCTTAGGCGATCATGACGACAAAAAGAGAAGAATCCTACATTTCTCCTGTATTATGTAATAATCTGTCATTTATAACTCATTTTCCTACCAAATACAAAAAGAATAAGCAGTAAAATGAAGTCATTTATATCAATCTAATCCATCACAGATAAAAATATAAGAGACATCAATGTAATTGAAAGTTTAAACTTAAAATCATTCATAATAGTGCCAAAAATGAATAAATCCTAAGTCACTTTGACAAGTTTTGGAATTCAGTATAATCATTGTCTGAGATCATTCTTTGGTACCATGCCTTGCCAGCAGCCTTGATTGCAGATGCTACAACTTTGAGAAGTTTTCAAATTTGGTATAATCACTATCTGAGATCATTTCATGGTACCATGGCTTACCAGCAGCCTTGATTGCATATGCCTCCTCCTGGCCACCAGCCTTGATTGCAGATGCCTTGCCGACAGCCAACTCTGATAGCCCAAGCCAGTTTGAGGAGTTTCCTCTCATTGTTTGCCAGTAACCTGCAAAATTATTCGGCACACCTATAGCCACGTCAGCTTTTCTAAATAAAACACAAAAAAACAAAAAGTTTTTCAGGGCCAATTTGTTAAATGGAAAGTTGGAATGTCCGGGGAGTAAAATTTTCTCTCTTCACGAACCCAAGGTATAGAGTGCAAGATTGAAAAGTTCACTGAGTCAGATATTTTAGTAAAGCTGTGTATCAGCATGACACCTGTAGCATCAGCACCATAACCCAAGTATCAACATCAACATCACATAAACTACAAAAAATTAAAAGTACAAGTTCCAAACCTTTTCATTGGGTTGTGGTCACTCAAAACAGATCCATTTCCCCATGGAAGCACTCAACAGCCCAGCGCTCCCAAAAAATGGTCATTGTTTCGTCATTCAATCCGTCCATCGGGTTGTTGGTCATGTCGAACTGAATAAATTTCAGGGCATATGCCCCACAATCAGCACTATAATTGGAAGATGACATTAGCATTAGAATCAGCTTATAGAACAATTTTATTATGTAAGTTAGTTTTATACAAAATTTACCTTGACTCATTTGTTGGGATGGGAACGCGCTTAAGTGGCCACTTTCCCGTCAATGCTTCATCACCGAGGTGCTCAAACATCCCGCTCTCGCATAACAGCCGTGGGAACAACACGGACAGTGGCTCCAACTCGGCCTCCAACTGCTTGTCTTGACAAATTATTGGGTTGCAGTTAGACCTGGCAAAACGGGTATGGACCCGCGGGTCGGTCCGTACCCGGGTAAAAAATATAGGGTATGGGTTCAATAAATTAAACCCATTTTTGTTTGACCCGTACCCGTACCCGGTCCAATAAATTACGGGTCATATGGGTGAACCCGTGGGCACCCGCGGGCACCCGTATAAGCCTTCTATTCTGTTTTGAACTGAATGAATCCCTAAAACTAAAAGTCTTTTATTTTTTATCACAGATTCACAGTTCACGCCTGACGCCTCCCTCTCACGCCTGACGCCTCCCTCTCACGGAGTCACAGTCATCACGAATCCATCTCATCTCTGATCTCTCGACTCTCAGTCTCAGATCGCGGCCGCATCGTCACTTCGTCATCAGTCTCTCATCAGTCATCGCCTCATCAGTCTTCTTCGATTAATATTCGTCACTTCGTCACTTCGGTAACGAAATAGAGGCTCAGTCGCTCAGAGAGAGATCAGAAGCGAAGTTCGGCAAAAACAGGTTTCTTCAAAAACAAATCCTTTTCGATTATTTTTTTTTTTATTTTTTTTTTTTGGGAAGTGAATGAATTTTTATTTGAATGAAGAGTTTTTAGGAAGAATTGTTTGAGTTTCTTTCATAGTTGCTTATGTTTGGTTTGGTACAGTTTGATGGACCCTTATGGTTTGGAAAATTGACAAATAGGTCCCTTTGTGAGAGAGGTTTATGGTTAATTTGATGAGATTTAAAGAGGTTTGGGGTGATCTTAGGGGAATTTATGATGATTATCATAGTTTAAGAGAAGTTTTTGATGGTTTTGGAAACCAATGGGATCTTTTTTAAATTCGTACTTTAGTGATAATGAATTTTTTTTTGGAATGAATTTTGCTTGGTTTTCTTTTTTGTGGTTGGTATAGTTTTATGTTTCAGTTTGTGCTTGGTTTTAAATTTTGTTGTTTGGTTACTTAGAAAGTGGAGGAAAGTTATGGAAATGAATTGGAAAGAGTAGAATAGCAATGGATCTTGTTTATGTGTTCTCTTTATGGGTTTGTGATGATTGAAATGAACAGAAAAAAAAAAAAATGACACTAATCGAAAGTGAGCGAAATTCTTGAGCAGATGAACTTTAATTGTAGTTTTGTGATTAAGATGATCATTTATAGGTCCTTGGAGCGCAGACTTGTTTGGTGCTTGGAAAAGTGGAACGTGAAACACCATGAAGTTGTAGATACCAATGTGTTCTGCTGATATTTGAATAGAATGCAAACTCATTCAGCAGAAGGGTTGTGTTAGGCTTAGTTTAGTAGTGTGGGTTTAGTTATCTTTAGTTTCATAAGGTGAAAAATCTGGGATTTCAAGTTCATGTTATCGTAATTAGGTGGACTATTTATAATTTAACTAATCAATCTATAATAACTCACTTGCATAATTGCTACATAGAATCTATTATGAAATAGATCAATTTTATACAAAGAAGAAATATATATTAATCATCAATTAATATACACACACTCAAACATAGTTTGAATAAAACTGAATGACAATGTCGGGAAATTCCTTCGAAATTAATTGTCTTTCTTGCATTAAATTGACACCTTAAAGCTTAAGCTACAAGTTACAATTGATACAGTTTCTGAGCTGACCTGATCTGCTAAAAGTGTTTGACATTGTAGTGCAAGTAGATTTACTGAATAATTTTCGATTGACTTTATATGAAGCCAAAAATGGGGCTGACTTGGTTCAATCCGATAATGTCAAGAAGGAAAAGTTGCAGAAGAAATTTATAATAAAATTGAAGTAGTTTCCATAAAATGGGTTCACTATATGCCAAGTGAGTGCATGCCAGATGGGAAACAATGAAAACTAAATAACAAAACATGTGTTCAGTCGTTGAGCTGATCTTTAATTTTAATACTAGTTATGTACCCATGTTTCTTCATATAATTTAATTATATCAATTCAAAATTATTAATAATTATAGTATCCGATTCGTAACGGTATCAATTTTTATAATCTAGTAGATGGGTATTAGTTTAGGAGAGTAAAACAAGTTAGTAGCCGTATTCGTGTCGTGTCAAATAAGTTTCAATCCAAACAAATAAATTATAATTATGAATAAATTAAAACCCATAATTATATTAAAAAAAAAAAAAAAACAGTATAGAATAAAGTAGCATGCATGCCTGTACAAATAGTATAAAATGACAGAGAGGATATGAATCATAGAATAATACAACTATACAATTAAACAAAGAAGAGACATGTTTATCGGGGATCCCAAAAAACCCGGTTGCAGCCGATCAAACAATTAATTTGTGAATAATTGCAGAACTTCAATTATACATGTCTTTTTCTATCTTGTAAATAAATATTACAAATGTACTATGAGTACTTTCTATATATAAACAGACAGAAACATGTTGGTAGTTTGTAATTTAATAATACTGTTATGTTATGATAAACTGAGGGTTACTGACATCTAAAAAGACCCCTCAACACCCTCATAATACAAATATAATGAGTAGAGATGCATGTGCCACATGATCCTTACTAGATAAGGGTTTCATTTTATATATCAGACTATAAATGTAAGATCTATATAGGATAATAAGATCTACAATGTGTTAATTGGTGAAAAGATCCTGAAATTATGAAACATGTTTATTAATAAACAACAATAACTTCAACTACCATCCCTCCCTGC